GGGAGGCTGGCGGCTCCCCAAGTCTCCCCCCCGCCACCCTGGGCCGGGCGCGCCAGGCCAGCTGTGTGGGAAGGGAGCGAGTGTGAGGGTGATAGTATCGGCCGTGCAGCGACCTCCTCGCTCTGCTGCTGTGCTCGCCTGGGGTGGGGGCACCGTCTCGGGACTGGAGTACTTCAGCTGGCGAGGGGAGGGGAGGGGAGAAGGATGGAGCTCGGGTCTTTAGGAAGGGCGGTAGAGTGGGTGGAAGAAGGTGGGGAGCGGTGCGTGATTAAAAAGTGAGCGTGGTCCCGTGAAAAGTATCAAAAGTGCTGTTCCCATTTGTTCTACATTCAGTTTGGCATAGCTCATCCCCTTTCTGCTGGATCAGATAAGCGTGTTTGCAACCGCCTTGCAGCTAGTGTGTTGCCTTAGACGTTGGAAGGTGAGGTTGTTAAAGCCTTGCAAAGGTGGCCCTCCCTTAGGTGGTACAGTCCTTCCAACTTGGGGCACTACTGTAAGCTCCCTTAAATTAGGAATTGTGCCCTCTTGTGAAGAAATACTCAAGAACTTTCTTTAAAGTAACTATTGGCTGTTAAACTTACTAACGAACAGCATTTCTTTCAAATATTAAAAGCTTATGTCTCTCAGCATACTTTTTTCTGTTTTTCCAATGTTAAGTCAGTGTTGTGGAGTGCAGTAATAGAAGAACAGGCTTTTGTATAGTCAAATGCAAAGTCAGTTCTTGAATTTTTGAGGGATTCTTTCACAATGGTTGCAAATATTATAGAGAAATGTAATTGCAAGATTGTGCTAAAACTTTGAATCACAGTAGTTGTATTGTGAAATGCAGAAGTAGGTTTATTTATTAGCTGTTTGTGTAGAAGTATCAGGTTTTTGGCTGCCTCATTAGTAAATGGCTTCTTGCATATGAGGAAATGATTATGCAAATTTTTCTAATAATAGCAGCTAAACTTGTAAGTAAGAGTACTGCTAGAAGTTGTGTGCTATAGATGTGAATACTACTTAGTGTAAGCCTTGCACTGTGGTGTTGTATCACCTCTGTGCTTTCTGCTCTTCTGAGAATGAACTGAATTTTATCTCACCTAAGTGCTAGCTCTAATCAGGAAGTGGAGTACGGGACTGAAGAGTCAGCATAACTTCTAAGTGGTTACTTAGGAGATAGCTGGTGTGGAAGACCACTGCCTGTGGCATTTTGTTGTGATCTAATTGGTTCCGTGTGCTTTTCTGTCTGTCTTGTTTTGTTGTCATTTTACAGTTCTGTTTTAAGCCAGCCATGGAGGACAGGATCATGTCTTTATCTGTCTGCATCATGTAACTTTCTGCTTGCATTCATAGGGAAACAATCAACTCATGAAGCTTTAGGTATGACTCCAATGGAAGAAGAGTATTTTCGTGATTCAATCAAATCCAAGTTATCGACATTCAAAGATAATATAGCGAAGATAAGATTGCTAATACATACAGAATGGAGCCACATATTAGATTTCGGGATTATTTAGTAAGAAACAAAGCTCAAGCTGTATTAATGGTATGGTATTTTTTAAAAAACTGTCTAATTTTATTGCAAAAGTAACTTGTCTTGCAAAGGTTATATTAACAGAATGATGTAAGTTGCATAAACTAAACATATTGCTAAATCTTTGCAGACTTCATGTTTTGGCACACAGGCATAATGTGAGTGTGCTTCATTTTGCGAAGTGCAGAAGGCCGCCTGCAAGGTCACCACTGAGCATGTGCTGTTAACGTGGGCCTGATGCTTCTTAAACTCTTACCTATTTCTAAATCAAATTGAGCTATAGCACAGTTTGAAGTACCCTAATCTGCAAAATATATGGCTATCCAAAGATTGTGACATTGAGTTTGTGCAATTCGACTTCTTCAGTTAGTTCTAATGTCACATGATCTGCGTAGAATGGTGGCCTTGACAGTCTGACTCTTGCATCCAAAAATTAAGCAAAAAAGAAGGTGAACAATCTGTTGAGGTAATATGTAGCTGTTAGTGATACCTTGAATAGTTACAACCGACTCTTGCAATTCTGTCCAAAGATGTGCCTTGGATATTTGAAACAAGTATTTGTAGCACTAATTAATGCCAAATGATGGAGAATACACTCCTGTTTTTTAAATGAAGATTGAGTGGGCATGTTTGTCGCTTTCAAAAAACTGATAAAACATCTTAGAGTAAACATAGTGCAGCCTTTGCTGTTTGAAAGCATCATCTATATTAACTATTCTACTCATTAGTTCTTCTAGTGTTCTTGTAATGAAAATGGCTGTAAAAGTGTTTTTACAGGATGGAACCTAAGTTCTTTCAAATTTGGTTTTGACAGAATAAACTTGAAAAAGCCAAATATGATGAAGCTTCTAGTCCCTCCTTGTGTGCCTCAATCTCAGAAGAAATATTAAAGGCTGTGAAGGACTTGGACTTTGACCGTTTTAAGTATGTGGTATCAGTGCTAATTGTGGAGAAGGCAGGTCAGGCAATGAATGTGAGCAAACAAATTAATCATAATATCTTTTGCAAATTGAAAATCATTTTTAGAACTGTATGTTATCTCAAAGGCATTCAGCAGCTTAACTAGTTTGATGTGGACTTGAAGCCTTTAGGTTCTCTGTGGGGAGCAGTGTGCTAGGTGACAATTTAAGGCACTGCTGGGATTCTACCTCACCCTGTGAAGCCTGTCTTCATTTTTGAGTTTGGGAACAGTGGTAAACAGCCCATGCTGCTCTTCACTGCCAACCAGTTATTTCTGCTATGTGCTGTGCCAGTGCAATTGCACAACTGCAGTGAATTTTCTTTTTCCAGTGTAATTTGATCTCCAGTTGGGTCATCGCATTCAGTGCAAAATACTGTGCAGTTGTGGACATGGAAAGGAAGGAATGACAGGAAAGGGATAGAAACTGTTTCAACTGTAGCAGCCACCAAACAGATGCTCATGGGACTACAAATTAACATTAGTTATCCGAACTCAAAACAAAAGGTGTTGTTGACTTTCATGTGTTGTATGTAGATGTACATGTATTGCAAGCTTCCCTGGCATTCAGAACACTTTTAGGTATCTTCCTGAGTGTCAGAGAGCACTTCTGTTTAGAAGTGTTCAGCATCAGCTGTTAAAACCTGATAAAACCATACCTGTTTTTAGTGGGTTATGTGAAATAATGTTTGCAGGGTTGCCAGCTTCTGTAATGAAGCCAATCCATGAGGGGCCAGCATCTGACTGCTCTTCTGGGGCTTTCTCACAGTACATGGCCTTGGAAGTTGCACTTTGACTGCGAAGATGTGTTTTCTGAAGTTGTCCAACTTAACCTTTTTCTCCTGAGGAATATCTTTATTCCAGCAGCCAATTCACACATTGTAGCTTTGAAAACAGTTTTATCAAAAAAGCCGAGAGCCAAATAAATGGTAACAAGTAGACTGCTGGAGGTGGAGGAGTGGGAGATGTGACTTCTTAGTTGCATATGCTCACAAAACTAATGTCTATTTATGTTGCTTTTGAAGGAGTGCTGTTACAGTGCACTAAAGTGCTAACAAGTGGACATGAAAACTGAGTTTTTGATGTAGACAGTTTTGGATCTGTTGGGGTGGGAGCTTTACTGTGAAGCAAGAACATGTATTTTACCATTGGAGTTTTTCATTCTCACTAATTTTGCAGTTGTTACTACTTGCAACTCTCTTTGTTTTTTTAAATAACAATAGATTCTTATTGGTATAGTGATAGATAAATCTTCTATACTATATAGATTCACAAATAGCTTTTCCTTTTCTTTCCTTTAGGTTGCCAGCAGATGGGTCTGGGATACTCAGAGAGACGGTTGGGTTTCAGCTAAATGTGAAACTGAAACATTCATTGCACTGGCTTTGGTAATGGCTTGTTACTATGAGTAATGCTCCTATAGTCACACCTGGCTTTGTGTGTCACAATACTTAGCATATTTGAAAATAATCAGAATTACTTGAGTGCTAGTTTTTCTTCTAATGTGGTTGGCACATTGAAATTGACACATAGTTGAGAATTTAACAGAGAAAGTTTCTAGGTTTAAGAGAGAAAAATACCCAAACCTAAAAAAGTGCTTTGAAATGTGTATGGCTGAGTACATATGGGCTTCATCTGTCATGACGCTCTGCTGTAGAAGTTGAAGCAGCTGGTGTAGTGCCAAACTTTGCAAAATTCTGAATGTTGCTTATCTGTTTCATGCCTAGGGTTAACAAATGTTTACAATAAATTGCAGGTATTGGTGTTCTTAAAAAGGATGTTCTTTTCAGCTTTTACCTAGTTTTATCTGTGATAAAATGCCAGTTGTGTATAGAAACATTGCTGGGATGGAAGCCATCTTTTTGCACACTTGGAAATTTGTGCAGATTTGCAAGTCTTGGTGTGTGTGTTCAGTCACCAGCTTCCCTGGGCCTCAACCTCGCATTAAATACCAGCTGCCTTCAGGCTGGGGGTGGCCAAGTGCTGAATTGGACCAGTCTGGTGGCTGCCGTGGCCTTCTCACGGGAAAGGCAGGAGGACAAAGGGTGGGTAATGAAGCTGCCGAGGAGTGGTCCGTAATTGGCAAGGACAGCAATGGTTGTATTTTGAATATAACCGAGGGTCTCCCCTGGCCGGGGGGGGTGGGCCGAGTCCCCAGCGGTGGGA